GTACTTCATACTGACATAGCATATAATAATCGGGCTTCCTTAATTGCAGAAGTGCTTCAAAACTTTTTTGTCCATGTTCACTAGTAATGTATACTTGAGGGAGTACAGCTACACTACAGAATAATGTCTCTGTTATACACCTGGCATCTGTCTTGGTTTACTGTGTTTTTCCCCCTTATCCCCAGGCAATGCTTTGCCACAGGATATTACATATTTGGCAGCTGACAGAATGTTGGTATTTGCATCTTGTGGCAGTCTTCTCTATGCTTTTGCTCGGAACAAAGAGGTTTGTGTCATTTGTTTGATAATATACAATGAGATCTCTGATCCTAAAATGCTTAATCAGTTGTGTTCAGGTATGGTGTAAGTATCTGAGCTGTATTTATGTATCAAGGATAACCAGCATTAGTTTCTAACAGGGAAATCTCTGTGCTGTAAAGGCAAGGGAGTGGGGGAAACAAGTCACGCACAACAGCCCAGCAGCAAGCTGCGTTTGTGCACAATCTGGGCTTAATGGTTATTAAATGTGATGTCAGAAGGCAGCCAAAGTATAATTATTTCTGAAATGATTGGGGAGGCTGGCTTGAGTGACTTGAAAATGATGCTTTAGAGAAGCCGGGTTGCATTCTTAATAGCTGATGATGGGACTTCAGTACAATGATTCTCAAACTGTATCGCCCCTTTGGGGTGCGTGGTACACCTGAAAGCAGGGCATAAAGTTCCAAGGAGATAAATGATCCTGAGCTACCAGGGTGTTCCTCCTTGCCAGTCAGAACCAATGGATAGGTTGAATACCCTGTAGCAAAGAATTTATTTACACTGGGTTTCAGTGGAAGACAATTCTGTTGCCTAGTAGCTAGGGCAAAATATCTAATCAGGTATCAGGTGGTTTGCCCTGTCATACCAACATTAGTTGGGAAGACCAGCCACTTATGTGTACATGGCTTTATAATGTGAGGATGGAGATGTTTGTTTCCTTTTCTTACACTGGTATTGTATTAGTACCCCAATCCAGAGATCTTTAAACACAGTGGAGGGCTGCATCAAAAATCTGAAACATACTGCTGTAATAGCAACGTTATTTCAGTTGTGTGTAGCTTGCAAGCAGGATTCTATATCTAGAATATATATAACTACTTGAAAAGGGACTTAAAGTTGAAGAGCAGCTGTGTTGGCGATGCTATCAACTTAACTGCAGTTTTATCAGTGTATAGAAGAGTTCAAAAGTCTCTTTTTAATTTGGATTAAATCTTGGTAGAGAGTTTTGGTAGAAATTTGGGGATTCTCCTTTATGGTAGTGCCAAGACTAGGAGAAGCTCAAAAATACCTTGTTGGTTTCTGAGGTTTGGAGTGATACAAGAGATTTTTCTATACCCACCCCACATAAAACTGGGTGTAGGCTTGCCTTTACAGTCATGTAGCCCCTCAGAAGTGCTTAGAACTTCTTCAGAGTTCAGAATAACACCAAATCAAGAGACACTGCTCTGTTGTTTCTCTTTCTCCCTTGGGAAAGCAGGTAAGGTAGCAAACACAAATTTTTGCTTCTGTAGTTGACATCTGGTTCATATTTGAGATTTTAGATAACAATTTAAATTTCTACAGTGTGGATTGCATAAGCAGTATTTTGTGACTTTGCATTGTACTGTATTATCACTTGTTTCTTTAAGCAAGGCATCTCTTTCAAATAAAATAGCTATTGTGCTTTTAATTATAGATGGTTCATACTTACAAAGGACATGACACAGACATTCATCTTGTGCTACCATTTGGGGAACATGTCATCTCTGTTGATCGTGATAACATTCTTATTATTTGGGATGTACAATCAGAAGGTGAGACTCAACTCTTCCAAAGGCAATAAATGTTTGAGGAGGGGAGTAAACTGTCAAACATATGTATGATGTTTATGGAACTAATATTCTTCTTTTGTTCTGCAGAGGAATACTTGCAGCTGAATTTTGACAAGGCTGTTTTTGCAGTTTCTGCTATTATGCACCCAAGTACTTATTTAAATAAAATTCTCCTTGGTAGTGAGCAAGGACCTCTGCAATTATGGAATATAAAATCCAAGTAAGAACTACTTTTCTTTTTCTCAATAAATTGCAGATTGGCCCAGTTATCAATTATTTATTTCTGTCAGCTTTAAAATGTGGAATTGAATGGTGCAGAGTGCTGCTGGCTTGGATTATGCTGTTGGGGAACGATGCATGATTCTGGCAACGGCTTAACCTTTCTGGCAGAAGAAAATATTTGTCACTATAAAGAAAACTCAAGTTTTAAAAATATCTTCAGAATTTATCTTGTAGCAGTTTGTGGAATTTTATGCTGTTTACAAACTGTCTGAAATTCTTTTATTTTGTAAAGTATGTTTTATTAAGTTTTTAGGGTATACATAAATAGGAAGGGAAAGGAACAAAAATAATGTCTTCTGCATATAAATCTCTGCTTATCATTTCACATTATACAAAGATAGACTGAGATTTTAAAAGTTCATAAAGGCTTCTTTCATATTATAATATTAAGGAGTTCATGTCTTTGTATTTCTTTCTTATCCAATTATAAAATGGAGTCCATATCTGAAATTCTTTAATAGAATGCCCTGGTGGTCTCAATCAGAAATACACCCCGACACACTGTTAAAAGGAGTTCCCTAATGGGAACTTGCTCTGCAGATTACTGCGTGGCTCCATGGCAAATTTGGGGACATCAGCTTGTCTGGTTTGGTGTCAAGGGAATGGTGCAGTTGGTCCTTAAACTGACTGTTGTGAGGAGGAGGGGCTCAGGCAGTACAGTTTGTTTACATCTCTCATCTTCATCTCTCTTACTAGCAGGAAGAGCATCCTATAATGAGTATCTCTTCAGCTGCAAAGTTCTTGTCCTATCTTAGGTTTATCTCCTACCTTCGACAAGTGAGCAGGCTGGGTTCTTTAGTTAAAAGTTGCAAGCCAAGATCTTACTCTTCTTCTTTTTAAGTTTGATTAGCCTAGCTAGTCTGTGGGTGGTAATTCTGTTAATATACATGGCATTTCCTTTGCCTTTTGGATGTTATTGAAACGCAGAGAGTAAGATCAGATGTCTGGATCATCTGACCCCAAGGCAAAGATGTCCAGTGAGTGTGAGGTGGACTGTGGCTCATGGGTCCCCTAGTGAGTTGATCTCAGAGACCCCGTGTTGGGTGGAGACCGGCATTTCCAAGAGGATCTGCCTCTTTAGTTTGCATCTCAGCACCCAAGACCAAGAAACTGTAAATGGCAGCTGTAAGGGGAGAGGGTAATAATCTTAGCAAATGCATCCTGGCTTCTTGGTTGCTTGGATCCATAACTACTCACGTTCATAAGTTTCTCAGGTCTTATCTTGTGTGTTTGGTTTTTGTGTGTGTGTGATTTTTATCCAACTTTTTTCTATTCGTAGCAAGCTCTTGTATACATTTCCAGGGTGGGATGCAGGAGTGACAGTCCTTGAACAGGTACGTAAACCTGTAATGCATGTTTTTGAAAACAGAGCAACAATTACATTTAATAAACTTTTATGGTGCTTTATTTTATTTTAATGAACAAATTTCTCATGTAAATCCAATAGGTATAGTTCCACATGATTAAACAATTCCCTTAGAGTTGTAGCAGTTCTCTGGGTGAAGGAGACTGCTGCCATTCATATCCCCAAGACTCTGGACAGTTGGATGTACCAAGATATCCAGAAGTACAGGGATTTAGTCATAATCTTTTGATATCACTGTTGCTGATACTGGTAAAATCAGTGTACATGTCTATATTTTTCCTGTTTGGTAGCTGCTATGTTATACTGTTAGAGATTTGTTTGCTGATAAATTATAGGAAAATTTGCTTTACATGAATGAAATGAGTCAGTCTGAAGCTTGCATTTGGTCTCTGCCTAAAAGTAATGTGCAAATATACATAGTTGAAAGGTCAAACTAAAACTGTAGTCTGAATCATTCTTCTCTTCAGGTAGGTTCCTTAGCAATTTAATGGGATTTTCATCAGCACAGTGTTGCAAATTGAAATGGTTAAACTGTAATTTTCAAGTCTTAATCCTAACAGTACAATAATCCTGTACACACAGTGCAGATAATGTATAAATCTTGACTGTCAGCAGAACTGACCACAAGTAAGGCTTTTTATAATGTAAATGTTGTAAATTACTGTCTCTCTGGGAACTTTTCCTGAGCAAACCTCATTTGAATGAACCACCGTGTTTCTGTGGAACTCTAGAATGCCAGGACATGTCAGAAGGTTTCTTGTGATGTCATGTCTCCATTATTAACATTTAAATTTATTCACTTTCTTTGGAGGCTCCAGCAGTGGATGTTGTCGCAATAGGTCTTGTGTCTGGTCATATCATAGTGCACAATATCAAGTTTGATGAAATACTGATAAAATTTCAACAAGACTGGGGTCCCATAACAGCAATATCATTCCGCACAGGTAAACATCTGCATTTACTTAAAATTACGATAACTGAGAAATGTCCCAAGTGAGATCTGTTGTTCATTGAATCCCAATTTTTTGTCTATAACTTCAAGTTCAAATACTCTCTGTGTGTGTATGTGTGTATATATGTGTGTATATATATATATGTATATATATGTGTGTATATATATGTGTGTGTGTGTGTGTATAAAACTGAAACAGCCATGTTAGTTTTTTTGGAGCAAAAATTTTAAAAGTCTAGGGCACCTTAAAGACTAACAAATTAATTGGCCCCAGTTTTGCTATTTTTATAGTCTTGATACTGGGAGGTCTGTTTTTTTGGGTTTGGCTACTTTTAACAGATTGATTGAAGCATAAGCTTTTGTGGAATAGGGTCTGCTTCGTGCGTAAAATGGGCTCTCATTCAGCAGAACGTACACAGGTAGAGGATAGAAAGAAAAAATAGTGGGTTAGATCTCACCAATCCATTCAGCAAACAGTGATGTTTTCCAGCAGCACATTCCTGTTATTGGGAGAAAGGCTCTTCTGTCACAGTGCCTGTGAAGTTGCCTTCTACTGAGCCAGAGCACTGCTCTTTCACTGTGGGTGTTGTATACTCTGACTGGCAATGGTTCTCTCACATCAGCTACTCCCAAGTCCTTGAGCTGGAGATGCCAGCAATTGGACTAGGGACTTCCTGCATGTAAAGCAGGTGCTTTACTACTGAGCCACAGCCTCTGCCAGTGCAAGATTCTGTTGCATCACTATATGGGCTTTGCACCAGAGGAAACTGCTGTCATTGTAGGAATGGATCTGTGGGATCCAGCTCTGTAAAATGCAGATTGACAATTTTATGCAAAACCTCAGAAGTATACAAAATGACTACTGTGACTGTTCACACTAGTTGTACTTGGCAAGAAACTTATTATGATAAGCAACTCCTTGACAACCACTGTAAGTCATCATTTGTCACATACTGGCACATACAAGTTACTAGTCTGGCATAATAGTCACTGTGACTCTCGTTTTTGGAAGCTTTACTAAATTTTCCTTTTCTAAGCTGTATTTATCTACTGCAATATGAACTGGTTCTCTTTTTCCAGTGGTGAATAGTGGTGCTGTATGTCTATATCAAAGTTTTAATTTGTTGCGTTTTAGTTCAAGATGAAAGTGCTATACATATTGCTTTGCTTTTTGTTCTCTTAATCATGTAATCAGATGGGCATGCAGTTATGGCTGCTGGAAGTCCTATTGGCCATATTGGGTTGTGGGATCTAGACCAGAAGAAACTTCTGGGCCAGATGAGAAATGCACATGCCACAGCGATCGCTGGTCTGTCATTTGTTCAAGGAGAACCACTGCTTATTACTAATGGTTCTGATAATGCTATAAGGGTAAGTAGTTTTGATGCTGATTTTTATTTCTTTTCAGAAGTCATTTACCCACTGATTATTCTGATTCTTGCATATCACAGTTAGGGATGTAATGAGTATCTGTAGGTTGTTTTCCAGAGGGAATAAGAAATCATATTTGCAGCTGTGGAAAATTTCTCTAGTTATTTTTTGATAGTCATGGTGGATCCATTGGGTGGCTCATTGTACAGGATGTTGTACATGTGCATCTAATCTGTTGAGAATAAAGTGGTCAGGGTTTTAGAGGAGGAACTAGGGATTGTATTATTAGTTCATCAGGGTGTTGACTTGGGAATCTAGGGCAGTCAAATCACTGCTTCCTCTTGCCCTGTCCTGCAATCAGGAAAAGTCTTTCACAGTTGTTGTTGTTTTTTGCAAGAGAGTAGATGTATGCAAATGTTTCTGAAATAAATACATCTGTATTTTTGTCCTCTTAAATAAATGGGGACCATGACACAGTGATGCTAAGATCTGAACTGGTAAATCAGAATTTCCTTGGGGAAATTACATGCTTGTTTATGTGGATAGATGTCTCAAAGTACACACTGTCAGTTTTCAGTAGTGCAAAATATCATTGAAAATAATGGGAAACAATTTGCACATCTCTAAATGCAACAGATATTAGAATGAGCCATTGCTTGGTAACATATAAAGCAGCTATGCAGTGTTATTTATTGTTGTGCATTTATTTTGAAGTGAACTGGTATTAAAATATTGCTTTCTTTCTAATTTCATTTTTTCATACATTTGTTCTGTTATTGAACAGGAGTGGGTATTTGATGGCCCTGGTGGAAGTAGTAGATTGCTAAGATTCAGAATGGGACACAGTGCACCTCCAACAAAAATCAGATACCATGGACAAAATGGGCAACAAATTCTTAGTGCAAGTAAGGTGTCATTTTCTTGCTCCAGAACAGTGTTTTTTCATTTTATCAGAGCATGTGGTGTGAAAACTAGGTCATGTATTTCTGATGGTACATTTGTATTTACTAGATGTATTGTGTGGTTTAAAGTTCATCTTCAGGTGATTAAATATTAAAGTCTGGCAGTTTCTTTTCTGTGAGCTCATTTCCAGCTTCTTCCTTGTTGTCACGGCTCAGGTGGGGTGTCACCTGACGCTGCCACCACTCTGGATTTAGGTTCCCTTGAGAAGGCCCAGAGCACCCTCCCAAGACCTTCAGACCTCCATTTTGGCCAAATAACAGGTGTGAGGATCAGGCAGAGTGAACAATGAAAATAGTTTATTTTATAAGAGGTCAAACAAACTAGGTGCAGAATTATAACAGTAAGTGAAAAGAAAAGAAATCAAATGCCCTAACAAATCTAAATATATACTCTCCCTAGCTCACTATTCCAAGTGACATTAGACTACTCACCCTTCCCCACAGCAGCCTCCCCTGGCCCTGTTCCCTGGGGAAAAGAACAGCTTTTCCTGCTGCTCCAGGTCTTTTATTCCAAGCCCTCCTCTTTTCCTATTAGTCAATTTTGGCTCCAAAACCTCTCAGGGGCTTCTGGGAGTTGTAAGCCTAGCCTCACCTATTGCTAGCCAGGCTCCCTGGGCCTAGTAGGCCTCTGGTGGCACAGCCTAGATCATGACACTTGTTTTACTTAAAAATGGCTCTTGAATGTAGTTCGACAGTTTCACTGTCTACCTTCTGCTGTTTTATTTAAAAAGCCTAAGTTTTGAAGGTTTATCTGATAGTCAAAATACCTTAACACTGTAGCCCTTGACTTAGGCAACAATATTTGAAACTATACCTAAGATTATTGTAAATGCAAAGATTTATTCTTGCCCTGACCTGGACAGCCCAGGCTAGCCTGATCTTGTCCAATCTCAGAAGCTAAGCAGGGTCAGCCCTGGCTAATATTTGGATTGGAGACCTCCAAGGAATACCAGGGTAGCAACACAGAGGCAGACAATGGCAAAAAACACCTCTAAACATCTCTTGCCTTGAAAATCCCATGGGATCACCATAAGTCAGCTGTGAATTGATGGCACTTTCCACCACCAAAGATGTATTCAACAGTTGTAATGGTTTAAATTTTAACTTAAAAGTTTCTGGGCATTCCTAAAATGTATTTATGGCTGATGTTTCTTATTTTCATTATTACTTTGCCATAGGTCAAGATAGTACCTTGCAGTCATTTTCCACTGTGCACGATAGATTCAATAAAAGTTTGGGACGTGGTAAGTGTGATTGTATAATAAATAATTGAATGTCAGTGACTCTGTACTAAATGAGCAGATGTATTAAAATGCTCCCAAAGTTGCTCATATTTTTAAGTGAATGAGATGTGCATTTACTTTGCAGTGTTTTTGAGGAACTGAGAAGCCTTTCTGTTTGCTTGATGTGCAGAAGTTGCTTCTGAATCATTTGCAGAGAAGAAAGTTATGTTGAAATAAGTGGAATTTTGCCAATTAAGGGCATTCACAAACAGGGCATTCACAAACAGCTCACTATTCCAAGTGACATTAGACTACTCACCCTTCCCCACAGCAGCCTCCCCTGGCCCTGTTCCCTGGGGAAAAGAACAGCTTTTCCTGCTGCTCCAGGTCTTTTATTCCAAGCCCTCCTCTTTTCCTATTAGTCAATTTTGGCTCCAAAACCTCTCAATTTTGATGGAAAATTATTACCCTGATACTAATTACAGTGCGACTTGTTCTGATTAGCTACTACTTAGAATTAGGTGATGGTAAAGATGAGAACAGAATATTTTACATCATAGGAAATGTGTAATTACAAACTTGTCTCTATAAATGGTTAACCTGTTTCTTGGGTGTTAAAGGTTCCCTAAATAAAAAGAAATCAAAGAAGAAGGGCCTTCGGGATGTTACAATGGCACTTCCTCCTATTACAACATTTGCAACAGGTACGCAACTCTCCCCTTGCTTTGGATGAACAGGGTCATAAAAATAAACCAAATACTACATTCTTTTCTTTTGTGGTGCTAAACCTCTGTATTAAGAATTTGAGAATATTAAGTGGTTTTGTTGAAGTAAGACACTAAAAATAATTTCCAAGAATATTGAATAACTTATTGTGCAATTGCAGGAGGCTGCAAAAGCAGAATCTTGTGGGGGAGGTTACATTCTCTAAGTCCATTTATACTCAAATAAGCATATGCAACTAAAACATAAACTGACATCCTAGTATCTTTCCTGTGTAGCTGGTCATGGGTTGGTCCAGACCAATCTAATCCAGTCTTGCGGTCACTTACTCTTCCCCATATCTTTGCAGACAAAGCACATTCCACACAGCCTATGTTACTTTCCCATAGTACTCCTTACTTAGTTTCCAATATGTCTTCAGGCTGGCTCATTTTGCTTCCACAGTATCATGTAATTTAGCTTAATATGCTTGTGCATGTTCCTGACTGACAGAAATGTAGAAAATTAGATCTCTCTGGCTCTCTAACTTCATAGGAGTTTCCACAGGGATTGGCAGAAGTAACTGTTTTTACAGCTTGGAATACTTTTAGGATTTGGATGCTGTTTGCTGTTAAAAATAAATGTTCATTTAGATCAGTGTTTCTCACACTGTATCATTGGGGACTTCTATGTCCCCATTTAGTCTTCCCAGTCATATAACACAGCAAAGGTATTGGCTGGCCTCAATCTCATCCAAATCCTAGCAATTCAGGAAGAGGAGAAGGATGAACCTGGCATGAGTTATGGCATCTCAGACCCCAAAGAACGGGGTGAGGGGGGATTGATCTAATGGCCCCCAATAATATCAGCCTCCAAAATGGAAAAGCACCTATTTACCTGATGTGCCCAGTGTTAGAGTGTAATTTTTTTCCTCCTGACCAAACTGAGAAGTGACTATTTACTCTTGCAACAAGTATTGGAATCATTGTGTAGCAAATATTTCCCATAGCCATATTGTGAATCAGAACTCTCTGTCAGAGTTGGAAAGCATCAGTACAGTTAGTTTGGCAAATTATTGTTTCTCACAGTTAATACTTAGGTTCCTACTTATAGTCTAAATATGTTATTTGGCACAGGGAAACTGTTCTTGTGAATGCATGCAAATGACATGTTTGAGCATTGAGAATAACTCTGCTGTTCTGTAGCTACAGTGGTGCACAAACGGGCATGGCCCCACCAATCATTTGCCATGTCCTAGGAGTTGTGAAATCTGTCACAAGTCTTCTGCCTATGTTTCCTTCCCTCCCCCCAACTCCTTCCCAGGATTTGCCAATGAGGGCAGGGCTGGCCCCAGGTTTTTTTGCACACTAGGCAAGGCTACCTTCTGCCCCCCCCCCCCATGCGCCCACCAGTGTTCAAACATAAATGCATCTTAGGAAGGATGAAAACCACAACATTTGACATTTGTGAGCTAGCTCACAATTTTTTAGCCTCCAGCTCACACATTTTTGTCTTAGCTCAGGAAGGATGGCTCCAGAGCAAACTAATTTACGCTCACTCACAACTTTAATGCCAGAAGCTCACAAAGCAGAATTTTTGCTCGCAGGAATCCACAGCTTAGAGGGAGCATTGTTTGGGACACTTTATACTATAATCCTTCCCTGTGTCTCAACAAGCAGCCAAATCCAATGCTTGTCTCTCTGTGTTAATGTGAGTTTACTCCCACTTCACAGGACTGTGGTTTTAAATGGATGCAGTGCCATGAGGAGACTACCACACCAGTCCTCCTGTATCCATTCCTTGGAAGTAAAGCCAGTGGATCTTTCTAGAATGTGTAAGGTGTTTTTGGCCTGGTAGTGGCCTGAGAATTGTAGCCCTCCTCCCCATGAAACAGAAGTGAGCCCTGCCAAATGCCCCTTGTCTTATTGAGTATCCCCCCCCACACACACACACACACATCTCAGCAGCACAGTCCTCCTTGTTTCTGAAGAACAATAATTTTCCAGAGTTCTGAGGTGGCAGTCTGACTACAGATACCACCACCACAAAGTTGGGCAGCAATTAAAAAAAAAAATATTTGTGACAGGGATTAAATGAAGAAATAAAATAGAGGGAGCTCTCTCTCTCTCTCTCTCTCTCTCTCTCTCACACACACACACACATGCACAGGCTGTCTCTGGAGATATCGTGAAGGGCGCGCCCTAAAGCATGGGTTTTTGTCCTCTCCAAGAAAGGAACCAAAGAGGGCCAGATCCTCCACGCTCAGCTAAACCGGGCCCTTGCTGCTCCCGGCCAGCTACTGCCGGAGGCAAGCGCTCACCTCCTCCTGGATGACCGGGATGTAGTGCTGCGGCCAGGGCTTCTCGAGAGAAAGCCCGCATGATGACCTGCATTGGGCCAGAAGAAGAAGGCCAGATCAGGAACTGGGCGGGGGGTGGGGTGGCTGGAATGCCTCCGGGATTCTCATGCAGCTCCAGAGCGCTTTCTTCAGAGGGGGAGGGGAGCGTGCGGGTTGTGCAGCTGAGCAGCAGCTCCATTGACAAGGAGGAAGTTGTGGACGCTGCCTCGGGAGCACGCTGGTTCCAAATCCCTGGCTCTAAAAGGGGAGGAGGGCGCCCCACCGCCCATCGGGGCCCAGCAGCCTTTTCCACAGGGCTTCAGCAGTGGGAATGAGCAGGAGTCCAGCTGCACCTTCACGAGTCTAGATTGGGGGGGGGGGGTTGTTGTCATTTTTTGAGACTCAGAGGGAGCTCTCCAGTCTGAGCAAGGGGGCGTCGGCTCTCAAGGGCTCAAACCCCGTGCATCTTGCCGGTCTTGAAGGCGGCGACACAAGGAGCCACAAGGTGACACCTGTGGCCGCCTGCTCTCTTCTCCCGGGCGGGACCCAGTCTACCTGCCAGGCCCTTCCGGCGGCCCAGAAGGACATTTCCAGGCCTTTCCCCCCCTTGGCCTTTATTTCATCACCTTTGGGTTTTCACCAAGCCGAGAGAGCCGCTGGGCGGCCGCTTTTTTTCCTCCGGAGGGAGTCCTCGACCCCCTGCAGACAGACTCCAGCCCTTCCTGGGGGGCTCCGCGGGTGGCACTCCTTCCCAGTGCCAGCTCAGGCTACCCTCAAGGGTGCACCCAACGCAGCTTCCCAGGACAGCCGGGCCGCCAAAGCTTCTCTTCTGCCGCGGGGGTCCTGCCCAAAGCCGCAGGCTGTGCCCAGGGCCTCCTGGCATCCCGCCGCTTCCTCCTTCCGAGCACACGGCACAGAGCAGGATGGGCACACTGGTGACGGGTGCATGGCGCAGAGCAGCGGCTTTGGGCAGGGTGGGGGCTTTTGGGGCTGGGGGGGAGGGTGGCAGGGCAGTTCGGCACCCACATTGGAGGCCTGCCCTAGGCGAAAGTCTAGTTTGCCTAGTGGGTGAGCCGGCCCTGAATGAGGTTCTCCTTTCCTCTTCCTATCTCCCTCCCAGTCTGTGCCAATAAGGGACAGTCTCTTTCCTTCCTCCCACCTCCTTCCCAGGTTTTCCCTTTGCACTTTGCTTCCTGCACAAAGTAGTTGATTTGGCTGTGCTCTGAAGCACGTGACACAGTCCTTTTCCCACCTTAGCTTGCTAATTCCTGCCAGTCATGGATTCCTCTGAACTGCAGCACTGTAGCACACTAAGGTAGAAGCTTTTTTCTTCTTTTGCTCTTTTAGCCTGTGTGGAGAGTGTTCAAAGGTAGTTAGGAATCAGAGGGGGTGGGTGGCAGCAGCCGTCTTTGTATTCTGTGTCACAAGTGGACTGGTGATAATTTTACAGTGTGTGTGGGTGCCCGTGCAGCTGTTTTGGCCCTTGAAAGCACTTGGAGGGAGGAGCGGGCGAAAGAGTTCTGTACCACAAGGCCACGGTGGATCAGGGCATCACAGCATTTTAAAATCTCTGAAACGATGATGATGAATTGGTGCTGGCAACAATTTTGCCTTTTCTTTTAACGGGGGCAGGGGTGGGGTTTCAATCTCTGTATCTGTAGAGAGGAGCTTTCCCAGCTTCTCTTCCTAACTTTGTGAAGCAAAAAAAGCTGCCCTTCCCCTATATGCCAGGCAGGCTGTAGCTGTGACGGAAAAGTGTGTGCGCGCATACTCTAGGGTTGCCAACTCCATCTTGGGAAATTCCTGGAGATTTGGGAGATGGAGCCTGGGGAAGGTGGGGGAGGGACATTAATCAGGTATACTCAGGGGTCATTTCATAGAAAAAGAGGTGTAGGAGCTCATTAGCATAACTCATTGGCATAATTTATTTGCATATGCCACACCCCCTGGCATCACCGGAAGTGTGTCAGAAGGCAACACCCACCGCTCAGGCTCCACTGGACTGTTTTGGATTCCTAGCTATTGGGGGGAACGTGCAGATCTGTCCTTGCAGAGGAGGGAGAGCTTGTACCTGAATAAAACTTGGTCTTAAAGGTGCCACTGGACTGTTTGGGGCCGGGGGGGGGGGCTCTGCAACTTACCTGGCTGCTTCTTGCTCTGACTGAGGGCTGCTGGGAGCAGGGGGTGGGGCTTGTTGCACGTGCCTGCCCCCTGGGCTCTTTACTGCTGAAGCTCCACTCCTGTGTGCTCCTGCAGGAAATGACCCCTGGTATAATACTATGGAGTCTATCCTCTGAAGTAGCTATTTTCTGCAGAGGATGTGGACTCTCTAGTCTGATGATCATTTGTAATTCTGGGAGATCTACAGGCACCACCTGGCGGTTGGCAACCCTATTGGATTCCAATTATAGTTATCCTTAAGTCTTTATAGCAAGTTATGTGGCTCTAAACCAGAGCAGGGTTTGGGGCTGGGGGAGGGGAGAGATGAGTTCAGTGGAAGATGATGGTGTAGTGAATCATAGGGGCCATGCATCCAAGGAAACGCACCTTCTGTGATCTCTGTTAACAAAGCCTCATTTCATGCTCAGAGGAAGAAACAGACACTTTTATGGTGATACATTGGTGTGGGGGATTCCCATTTGGCACACTGCAACCCAGGAAAGTGAAAGTGGGATAATTTGGGAGTGGGGATCTTCATGCTTTTCCAGAACGCTGTTCATCATGTGTAAATAAAGGAGGGGGAAGTTTGGTTTTAAACAAAATGGATTGTCGTTTAACCTTCTTTGTCGAATGATTGATCTCTTGTAGAGATTTTGCACTACATCATGGCTAATTCATAGTAAAGTAAATAAATACTGATGTGCTCACCACCACTGTACTCATTTGCTGCCACCACCACCCCCCCCAATTTATTCTGGCCTTGGGCCTGACTGTGTAATGCCTTTTATAGATTGATTCATCACATATTGCCAGTAAAATTTGTATAAATGTTTAGAATAATAGAATAGACTGATCCTTTCCTGTGCCAATTAACAATTTGTTTCAGAAATTTCAGAATTAATGTATTTTTTGTCTAAAATTGATTAATGCTTTACATTTGTCTTTCCCATAATTGTGTGACTCACTCTTATTTCAGAGGCTGCTGACTGTCTTTGACTTTTGTGCTTTCTATCCCTAGTGTTTCTGACTATTTTAAGTATTTCAAGAATGTTTTAATGATTTGGTTGACAACTGTAGTATACTCAGCTGGGAGCTGGAGACTTGCTATCCAAAATACCAACTTCATACTCCTTCTTTCCTTGAGAAATAGACTAAGAGTACTCTTCTTAGTGGAGTTACAACCTTCTAAGTCCATTGACTTGAATGGACTTAGAAGGCTGTAACTCTGTTTAGGTTTTCTCTGTTAGGTGAGTATGCAGAGAATTATAGGCACATTGTACAGTGTTTCTGTGCATGCATGGGTAGTGGTGGTTTTTTCTTCTAGTTGAAGCCCCTCACAACTCATGGTGTGCTACTTTGGAGGACCTCTTCAGACTTTTGAGGGGCACAAACAATGATAGGATATGTTTATGATATAAAACTGGGAAGTATAGGTTACCTGAGACCATCATGAGAACTGTATCTTGTTGGCAATGATTATCGTTCTGCATTTACAAGATTAAAAACAAAAAGGAAATTCATTGTTTATGTTAGACAAACAATACAAATATAAAGGTGCAAAAGAGATAGTATGCCAACTGTATAACATCCAGAAACTCTTATGTAAAACACAACTTGACCTATATTTTATGTGTAGAACAAATGTTGTAACATTTTTGACAAGCTACTATAGGTATTTACAAAACATTCTGTAACCACTCCTGCTTTAGAAAAGAGCAAGAGTCCAGTAGCACCTAAAGACTTAACAAAATATGTGGCAGGGTATGAGCTTTTGTGAGTCACTGCTCACTTCTTCAGACACAGCTAGAATGGGAGTCCATCAGTCCTATTTATTTATTTACTAACTAGATTTTTGCCCTGCCCGGCCGAGGCTGGCTCAGGGTGGCTTACATAAAAACAGAGTACAATTCCACAGTATAATATAAAAGTATAACATCTGTTAATACAATAACAATACTTAAAAAACATAAATATAGTAATATAGTAAAGTGCTAGTGCTTAGTTTCCACATCTTACAGTCAGCTTGTTGTTCTTCTTCAGTTGTCCTGGGTGATTAGCTTGGGCAGTAATTGGAAGACCCAGGGGATCATGGCTCTCCCATCATAGGCTGTCAGTTGTCAATAGTGGTGGCAGCTCCAAAGGCCTGGCAGAAGAGCTCCGCTTTACAGGCCCTGCGGAACTGTAAAAGGTCCTGCAGGGCCCTGGTCTCCTCCAGGAGCTTATTCCACCAGAGTGGAGCCACCACTGAGAAAGCCCTAGCCCTGGTTGTCACTAGCCTAGCCTCCTTAATACTGGGGGGAAAAACGTGGGGGGGGGGGAAGCCGATTCTGGGTCCCTGATTGCAGCACTCTCTGGGGTACGTATGGGGAAAGGCAGTCCCTCAGGTATGTAGGTCCCTGGCCATAAAGGGATTTAAAGGTGATAACCAGCACTTTGAAACGAATCCAGTATGCTATAGGCAGCCAGTGCAATGTCTGTTTATTGGAAAGTGGAGTGATTTCAGATGTCGAATGACATTAGCAGGCAAATGACAATAGCCGGTGAATAACCATAGCAGGCATGATTGGATTAGGTGAGCTATGCGGAGGGGTAATAGGCATGGAGAATTTGGCATTGGTAATAAGACAAGAAACCTAGGTCTTGATTCAGTCCAGGTGGATACATTGTCTTGAGCTTCATATCAGTTGCAATTCAGCAGTGTCTCTAATCTTCTTTGAAATTCCGTTGTAAGAGAACTGCTACTTTTACGTCAGCAACTGAATGTCCTGGAAGGTTAAAATGTTCCCCCACCGGTTTTTGAATGTTGTGTTTACTGATGCCAGACTTATGCTCATTAATTCTCTGTCAAAGGGACTGGCCTGTTCGCCCAATGTAGAGGGTGGAAGGGTATTGTTGACACGTGATAGAATAAATCACTTTAGAGGATGAGCAGAAATATGAACCTGAGATAATATGGCTGATGTTGCTGGGTCCACTGGTGGTGTTGCTAGGATATATAAGAGAGCAAAGTTGGCATCTTGGTTTGTTGCAGGCCTTGATACCAGAGTCCATGTGACTGTTAAGTAGTTTGTCATTGTGGCTGAGAAGCAGTGTTCCCTCTAAGCTGCGGAGTCTCGTCAGCAAAAATTGTACTTTGTGAGCTACTTGCATTAAAGTTGTGAGCGAGCGATTTGGGTATTGCGTAAATTAGTTTGTTCTGGAGCCATCCTTCCTGAGCTAAGACAAAAATGTGTGAACTGGAGGCTAAAAAACACTTAGAGGGAACACTGGTGAGAAGGTTAGCAGGCTACCTGTAAGCAGTGCCTGTGTGAGGAAGTGTCACTCCTGTTTTGAAATTGTATTCCCAGCATTTAGGCACAAATGTATCTGCAGCAGGTATAGTTACTCGCAACCATAATGTAACACCACTGTATTGAGTGTCCTGGTAGGTAGTGGTACACTCCATCCAAATGGCATCTGAAATGGCAAATTAGACTCAGTGTAAGTAGTTGTAAAATCATGCACATTGAACAAATGATCACAACATGACTGCATTTGAAATTAGGGTATATTGTTCTGATATTCCCGTATCTTAAAAGAAATTGTAGAGGTGAAAAGGTGCAGAAGATGACAGAATGGTTAAAGGAATTCTGCTCCTTTCCTCTGAGGAAAGACTTTTTATATGGGGTATTTTGGTTTAGAAAAAGGTGACGTGAGGGGCATGAGGTTATGCATAGTATGGGGAAAATGAATGGAAAAAATTGTCTTTCTAATAATATAGTTAAAGCGTTTTAACAGTAGATTCATAACTAGCACAAATGATTTCCCAGAGTGCATGTGGAATTCACTGCCATGACACATGGTGATGGCCACTGGTATAGATGGTTTTGGAATAGGTAAATTCATGGCAGATAGATATATCATGGCTGGAAGCAGGGAAAAGCTGTGTTGCCTTTATGCCTGCTTGCAGGCTTCGTAGAAGCGTCTGGCCTCTGATGGATACAGGATGCTGGATTTAATATCTTAGATGGACCAGTGGGGACAAATATACACTCAAAAAGAAAGACGTGTGCAGTTTTTAGAAAGCTAATTAGCAGTACTAAGTGACTGCTTTGAAGATCATTGAACCTTTCCCTCGTGAGAAGGTGTTTAACCCTTTCCTTCCATGCCTTTTCCATGTGTTAAAATGCCCATCCAAAGCTGCAGTTTAGTTTCTTGGGGGAGGGGAGTACAAGCTCCTAACCCTGTCTTCTTTGTACATGTTGCTAGCTGCATCATTGAGGGTTTTTAAATATATATATATGGGAGAGAGTTGGACACTTATGCCCAGTGACCCCCTCCCTAATCTTTGAACCAGCTATTAATTAGTTTTTATAAACAGAAGACCCTAACTGCATATCTATGTGCTGCATTCTTTAACCCTGATTCTGCAGAGTGTTCTTATATCTGGTTATATATGGCACAGATCCAGTGAAGTGAGTTTTTACCTTAGAAGTTCATTTATGATTAACATTGATTCTGTTATTCATGCTGCAGAAAAGAGTTTCATGGGCCCTGTTTTGCTAAGCACTTTAAAAGCAAAATGGCAGATTTGCAGAGAAGCTAGGATTGTATCCTGCTGGTTATGCCACAGTAATCAAGTAATAACAAAATGTGTGTGTCTCTTCTAATTTATAGATGCCTCTTGACTAAGAGTTTTACATTTAATTAATTCTGATTGTGTTACAGAGGTTGCTCGCCAAAGTGACTGGGATGGGATCATCGCTTGCCATCAGGGTTATTTAACCTGCACCACCTGGAATTATCAGAAAGGTTCAATGGGAGCCCATAAACTGAAACCAGAAAACTTCAGCAAAAATAAACCTCTTGGTGTATATGCAACTGTAAGGACTTTTTTAATAATAGCATAAAATAATATCATTAAAAGGTAGTCTTTTTTAAATCATAGCATAAAATAATAGCATTAAAAGGTAGTCCTTTTTAAATCATAGCATAAAACTTTTTGTTAAAAAAACTAATAATTCAGAGGATTATACTTTTAATTTTTTAATGCTTCCTAAGTTTCAATTTAGTTCATAACTGAATAATTTGGGACATTCCATACCAAATCAAGAGATACAAGTTGTATCATGGTCAAGCATGTTGTTGAAGTTTTGCAGAGTCGTACATGTTGAAAAATTCCCATGGCTGAAATTAAAATCCGTCATGGAGTAGGACCACACATGCACATGGGAGATCATGGGCACAGAAATAACTGACAATATGGACAGTTTCTAATTGTTTGGCAATTGGCACTGCTGTATTTCTGCCAATCTTGGCACGAAGCACATTGCATCTTTGAGAGAACTTGAGCTTCCAAATGAGACTTTTATGTTTTACAGGTAAAGTAAATCTCATGCTGTAGTGAGGAGGAAGAGAAGATGTTTTATGGGAGATGTGACCCTGAAAAACATTTCGGAGGCATTGGTCCTGCCTCCAGTGACCTTTTTAAAACTTTCAGTATGTGTAATGGGGATCTGCAAAGTTGTGACTGTGATACAACCCTCATGTGCATATAATGCCCCTATGTACTGCAGTTTTGATAGTTAGAAGATCATTCACCTGAAGTTCTTAGATGAATTGATATTAGTTGATATTAGCTTTTCTTTCTATTAAATAACTACTGAAACATTTGGCAAGTATTGTAAATTCATCATAATGTTGAGGTGGGTTTTTATGGCTGGAAAATAAACTTCTCTTGTGAAGGTGGGCAAAGTCTATTTTTTCTTAGTCTTCTTTGAAATCAGCAGAAAAATCCAAAAATACTACACAGGCTTCTTTTGTGGTATGTTAACACTTTAAGTTATGTTTTCTCTCTGTTTACCCTGACAGGCAGTAGATATCACTTCCTGTGGAAACTTTGCTGTAATTGGACTTACATCAGGACACGTAGATGTATACAATATGCAGTCTGGCATTCACAGAGGACGTTATGGCAGGGATAAAGGTGAAAATCTGTTGCTTTTTAAAAATTAGTAGCAAGAGCGTCACATTTTCTGTCCTGTGCAAAAATTGTATCTAGAAACTAAACTCAACTGCAGGAATTTGAATTCATATATTCTAGAGCTAAAGTACTTGATGCTGCATTATCATATAGTTTTTGTTTAACCATACCATCTTTATAGACTACATACCATGATGTATGCAAATTAATCTTGATCTTGACTGTACATAAACATAATGTGCATGTGTGCTGTCTTAGTGGAAGAATATGCCTGGGCATTATTGATATGTATGGGTGAGGCATATGCATGCAACATAAAAGTGTGCATCTAATAACACAACATATTCTCTATGCTTGGGGAATGGGGGGGGGGGAGTGAGCTCATGAATTGTTCCCATGGCTCATTGCCTAAATCAGGCCATAGTAAATACTGTACAATAAATACTTGGTCTTAACTGCAGACATATACAAGCTGCTGCCTCAATATCAGCAAATTAACTATACCTTTGACTGTGACAAGTTGCAAAGGAGAGGTAGATGACTTTAGTAGAGCAAAATTAGAGGGATCACTGCGTCCATTGCATATCTGCAGAGATCTCTGGTAAGAAATCAACATAGCAAAAGGATATATTACTATTTCATGTTGAGGCCTGTAAGAAATCTCATGGGGAAGGAGACAACTTGAAAATCTTACTTTCCTATAGCTCTGCTTCCAGGATTTTATAAACTTAAATTTGGGCAAGGTAGTTCCCATCCATGGTCCTCCCCCCCCCCCCCCTTTTTTTGGGTTTTTTCACTGTGTTTCAGCATTATGTGCATCCTGGAACATATTCAGCTCTCATCAGACCGTTTGGGGTTCTTTACCTCCCACTTTTGGTTAATTTACAAATTTTGATTTGATTTTGCATTTTCGCAGTTTGTTATTGTAGTGATGTTATGCAGTTATTGTAATGATGAAGGAAGCAGATTCTCCTGACCTTTAAAGCAACTTTTATCATCTTCTGACATAATGAACTATCTGATTCATTCAGTAACTTGAAATCTCATTTTGTTATATACCTTGAATGTGTTTGGTGGCACAGTATTGTCCCATACGATCCCTATTACAGAGCAAGGAAAGAGGTACTGTGCTTTGGCTTGTTCTTATTCTTGAAGAGTTTCATTATTTAGATTGTAAACTATTTAGCTGGTGTACAAATAACAATATTTGATAGCCATAGAATTAAACTTCCCAACTTCCATTGTGCTTGTAAAATAATGGAATGGTGAAAAACACCTGAATGTTAATCTCTTGTTTTTCTTGAATATTACAGCCCATGAAGGTAGTATAAGAGGAGTAGCAGTTGATGGATTGAGCCAGTTTACTATCACAGCAGGCAGTGAAGGGTTTATCAAGTTCTGGAAATTCAAGACTATGGAACTTGTTTATTCTGTTAACTTCTCTACTTCTCCAAGTAAAACGGTTCTGCATAGAGACAGGTAAGACTAAAACATTTTGATAAAGTAAAATGGAATGTGGTACCTCTAATCTTCCACTGCAAATATTTGATAACTCATGATTACAGAGCATAGTTGCAGTGATAATGTTTCATGTTCATGCTCTCTATGTCGGGGTCCCCAACGTGACCTTTCCTGGTACCCGCCAAGTTTTTAAAGAAAGTGACCAATACTAGGTGGGGCTTCTGTCCAGTAGGCCTTCTGATTGCCCACTGGCGATCTGATTGGGTGTGCGGATTCTAAAAAACATTGCTTTGACAACGGCTGTCACCACAGCACAAGGATCTTCACTATGTGACTGATGATAAGCTGTGTGTAAGCATGAAAACATTTTTAAACATTATAATCATTCAAAAAGGCGTCCTGACGAGCAGACCTTCTGCCTGAAACATTGAACAATTACCATTAGATCCAGGTGGTCAGCCATGCCACTGGACTCTAAATTACCATTAGAGTTATGAATCACCTCACTCCCTCACATTTTGTAGCGTCAGAATTCCAGAGGTGGCCACAGGCTGAAAAGGGTTGCGGACCCCTGCTGAAAGTTTCCCCCCCTTCTATTTCCTCCTCCCGTCAGTTTATTCACTTCTATCTCTTTATGTGTTCACCATCCCATACTACTGCATCTTTTGCTCTGTGTGGCCTGCTGGTATTATTCTTGACTGTGAAAGCATTTAAGATAGCCCTACTCATGTTAAAATTGTAGCTGCTGGGGTTTAACCCTGTCTTAACCACTCCACCGAGCAAAATGTATTTTAATGTATTTATTAAAATATCTATACTACACCCTTTCCTTTTGGCTCAAGTTTGAAGCCTTCCTCCAGTCTAAGAAGCCTTCCACCACCTTAAGTGGCCCTTCTGTTAGAGGAAGAGCCACTTCAGTTGGAGGAAGAGGCTGCTTGGAGAATGGCTGGGTTCACTACAGTCTCTTATGAAAACAGAAGCTTGTATTCCTGAGAAAACATTAACATGCCCCATTTTTTCTATTCTGTATTAATTTATATCCTTCTGAATTTTGCCAGTGGCCTTCTGGGAATTGCACTGGATGACTTTGGCATTAGTATTCTGGATGTAGAAACAAGAAAAATTGTCAGAAACTTTTCAGGGCATCAGGGCCAGATAAATGATATGGTAAGACTATATTTGTGAACTTTAAGGTGTACAATCTGGGGGCCCGTGAGATTCACATGGCATGGAAATTCCATCCCTCCAAACTGGCCAGCATTTTAACTTTCCTACCTGTTTCCAGTTTCTCTCTCTCCCCCAACCTGCAGTCATACTGGTGTTGTGTAGGCCAAGGTTCTTGTGCCTCACTTCTGGGCAACCACACAATGCTTACTGTGATGTCATGATATCTTGGTAGGCATTCTCCATTTGGGGTGGGGTTAAAGGTCCCCTTCCTGTTTGCTTCTAAGTTTGGGAATTCCCCCAGGCAAATAGAAAAATCCCCTATATCTGTGTATGGCCTGATATATAGATTTTTCACTCTGCAATTTTGGGCCATGTTCAGAGTTGGATATAACAGTGGAAGGTTATTTATATTATGTTAGGTCTTGCAATTTGGAGCTTAAGTAGAAGCAAATGTATATGCTTGTATAAGAATTTGTTATTTCAGGAGCACCGAATCCTATAACAGTAATGAAAATAAGGAGATGTGTATCTAATTACTGCCTGACTGGAAGTCCTCTGTAAGCCCCTCTGAGTATACAGTATAATAGGAATTTAATACCTGGGAAAATTGAAGCTGTTATCCGTAGCTTACATGCTTTTTTGTGTATTCTTCGTCTTTTAAGTGCATTAATTATTGAACAGTTTTTCTAAAACTGCGCATAGTTTCTTCTAGAAATTCATTAGGGAATACAGGGGAGCACACTAGCATCCCAATTCTGAGCTAATTTGCCTGATAGTAAGCGCCTTAGACCCCTGTCATTGTGGATGATAGTTGTGAAAACTCTAGCCAGTTACTTGCCATCGTGATCAGGAAAAAGTTATCTGAAAACCAATAAGAGGCACTCAAGTTTACAAATGCTTATTTGGTCTTGTGAAACTTGAGTACTGTTAAATTTGCCATTACTTAATATAGCCAATGTTCTCTAGTTTGTTTTAGATTTACTTTGTAGCATTATCACAGGAATTCATAAAGGCTAAAATAAAATTGCCAATGTTCTCTTGCTATCTCATGACCTATTAAACCAATTTTGATGAATAATCTTTCATTGTAGACTTTCAGTCCTGATGGTCGCTGGCTAATAACTGCATCAATGGATTGCACCATTAGGACATGGGATCTCCCATCTGGATGGTAAGCAAATATAGAGATTACAGATAGATGTTGCTTTTATGAAAAGCAATGTGTTTTGTAATTTAAGTCAGATTTATGGAACAGAAAATCTGTCGGAGGTGGCCCTTAAGTATTCAAACCCAGATACAGTTTTTTCTACACAATAACAGGGTTTTTTTAGGTTAAGGCCAGTAAATAGATTGTTAGATTTAATCTAATCCATGACTTTTCAAAATATCCTAGTGCAAAAACTGCCCCCTAGATTTCAGGAATTATTGTTGATTGTATCAATGACTGTCCAGTAGATCAGTGGTTCCCAACCTTTTTGGTATGGTGACCCAGAGCATGCAAAAATCAGCAAAATTGCTAAAGCCTGGGACCCACTTTCACTGACCACAGACCCACAGGCTTTGCAACCTACTTTTGGTTTGGGACGCACAGGCTGGGAAATGCTACAGTAGATATTTTATTTAATTATTTATTTAAAACATTTATGATCTGCCTTTCTGCCTTGTGGAACTCAAGGTGGCTTACAATATTAATCATTATAAAACTCATAAAAAGTCATAATTTAAACACTCCAATTAGGACTTCCAAAAGCTAAATCAATCAAATGTAGTCCTAAATATAACTGTCTTCAGCTGCCTCCTGAACGTCAACAATAAGGAGGCGAGGTGCACCTCTCTGGGAATGATATTTCATAATTGTGGCTGTCACAGAAAATGCCCTCTCTTGTGTACCTACCAACTGAATGCCTTTAATTGATGGGCCACTCAGGAGATCGTCTTCCCACGATCTTAATCCCCAGGCAGTAACATATGGGAGAAGATGGTCTTTCAGAAACCCTGGTCACAAGCCATGTAGGGCTTTAAAGGACAAAAACAACTCCTAGAATTGGGCTTGGGGGCGGATCGGTAGCCAGGGTAGTTGCTATAGTATTGGGGTCACATGCTCCCGATAGCTGGGCCTGACCAACAGTCTAGCTGCAGCATTCTGCACTAGCTGCAGCTTTCAAACACTCTTCAAGGTTAGCCCCAAATATAGCACGTTGCAGTAGTCCAGCCTAGATATAACTAAGGCATTGATCACTTGTGGCTAGATTTGATTGAACCAGGAATGGATACAGCTGATGCACCAGGTAGAGCAGAGCAAACGCTACAGCAACCATTTGGTTTTCTAAGGTGACTGCTGTATCAGGCAGCACCCGCAAGCTGCAAACGTAGTTTTTCAAGGGGAGCCAAGATGGGGAGATCTAAAGTCCCTGGTCTGCTATGGTGATCTCTCCTTCTTCCCTCCCTCATGCACAGGATTTTCCCTTTGTTATTTCTTCCTTTATTGCTGAGCAGCCCGTATATCTGCTCTACCCCCAATAATTTCAACAGCTCCTTACAGAATCCAGCTACGAACTGAGCTTCCCGGCCCGATATTATTTTGCGGGGCAGAGCGTGTGGCCTTATTACATGGTGTAGGAACACCTGGGCTAGCTTCTGGGCCATGGGTAATTGTTTACATGGGATGAAGTGCGCCTGTTTTGAAAATAAGTCCACCACCTGGAATAAGTTTCTGATTATCATTTCTCCCACACTCCACCCGCAGGCTTTGTTGGATCCCAGAAAGGCTGGGACACAGTAATATTTCAGTACAGGAGATGAGAAGCCAAGTCTAATCTGAAGAGAAATCATTTAAGAGTTTGCTTCTGATCTTTAGCTGTACCTAGCCTGTTTGTGCTGAACAGGTTGCAAACAGCCAAACAGTCCATTGATTAGTCTGTGCCTGATCGCGAGTAGCTAACAAGATGTGAGCTGAAGAGTTTCAAGCATCCCTAATTGTAATGAGAGTCTGGTGAGCTGATCATCAGAAATTTAAAAAGATGTCATAGTTGGACTAATATATAAGATTTCTTATGGGCTACCTGCAACTTTTGTTCAGTTTGACCTTGAATTCTGAAAATCCAGAAAGAATATTCACAAGCCGCACATGTTACAGTTGTGTACTTTGTATTCAAAGCCATGTTACTTGAGCACATTTTTATTTATGTTTTTCAACATATGAGTCCACCCGAGTAATTTTTCCCATCTCTATTATGATTTTACCCTTTGTCTGGGTGGGGGGTGTATTGAATTTCCTAGCCAAGGAGCCATGTACTTACTTAATTTTCGTTCTCTTTTCCAAGAATTCATATTTCTTCCCTTCCTGGGAGTGCCATCCTAGGCAAGAATTTAGCCCTTGATCAGTCTCCTGCTATCCTTCAGCAG